GCTCGTCATCTGGCGCTGTGCTCCCTCAGTCATCGGTCCTTATTTGACCAAGCCACAATGCCATGTGATGAAGCGAACGCATGACGCCACGTCATAATGACGTCATAGTGGCGTCGTGATCACGTCGCACATATTGGCGATCTATGACGTCTTGATGTCGTCACTTGGGGTCTTCATCGCGTCATGATTTTTGCAGCACTCGGGTTCACGCTGCCGACGCCGACGGTCAGTTTTCACGTTTGAGGAGGGATCGAAGGCTTTCGTCTTGAAAATTATGTCCGATTTGAATCACCGCACACACTCGAATACAACCGCCACTGATGTTTATTAACTCTTACATCATTATTTTTGAGGTTTCACGTACGGAAACCCCAATGCAATTACGAAGCTCGTGAAAAACTGTGCACTTGTTTTGACCACGCGGTATTTCATAAACGATAGCCAAACTTAAGTACAAGAATGTTCTATCATTTGGCTGCCTTTGCTATGCGGCCGTCGTGGCCTGGAATCGAACATGCGTCTTCGAACTTAGCAGCGCGACAACATGACTGTTGGGCTACCACTGAACTTTAACAGTTGAGTGACTAAAACCTATTCAACCGAGTTCATTAAATTTAGCTACCTTTGGTCGTTTTCAGCTAAAGCGAAAAATTGCAGTTCCATCCCATCGGCGTGTTAGCTGTGTCTCTCAGAACAGAGAATGAAGTTTGACTAACCAGCCAAGCAACCGCAAGGGGGAAGCAATGAATACGATAGCAACAAATTGCAATGTTATACGGAGGCCAGAAGCGAACTCTTTTGGATCCAATCTCGCGTAACTGCACAAAACGCTGGCGTTAGAGAATACGGCCACTACAGCAAGAGAGGTGGTTTTTCTGCAGTCACTCTGTGTTGAGGGCACAGCACGTAGATTGGCATACGAACCATTCATTGATGTCCGCTGAGACGGCGCGCGGGCCAGAGATCACGAGCGCACCTTCAATGTCCACAGTAGTTGCTCGATAGACGCATCCCACCCCCTCCCCCAGGGGCCCTTCGAAATCCTTCAAGACTAGTGAAGCGTTTCCATGTCGTTTAAGGAGTCGTCGATGGCAGGCCTCGCACGTGGTGCGTTGTTTATCGCATGCGCCCTCCACGTGACGGAGATATACCGGCTTGTCTCACGTCTGCATCAGCTGCGTTCGTGAACAGTGCTCGCGCGTGTTCACTCGCGGGTAGAACATACGATGCGTGGGGCGATGTCATTGATCTGGGCCTTATATGAAACATGTCGGCGACCGCGATGGTATAAACCCGTCAAGAGTTCTCACATAACTACTATCGCAATAAAAACATTCTCTTCATTCATTTTAAGCCCAACGATGGAGTTGGCTGCCAATTAGTTCAAGAGGTGGGACCACGAATGCATCTTGAGGGAATTAGTATGTTCAAGACGATTTATTCGCAAAAATGTAATGGTATAAAAGAATGAGCAGATCGCACGCGCAGGACAAAACTGTATCCGTAAGTGGGCTACACAAGCACGTTGCCTTCCCAGCGGTGCCAAAGCGACGGGTAACGCGCCTCGTCGTCTGTAGACAATCAGGGCGGATTTAGTGTCCGCCTAATGTCATCCCAGCGTCGGGCACGGCTTCGCGACCTGACGTCGTGAGACCGCAAGGCGGGTTGACGAGTATATCAGCGCTATCGGGACAGCGTAAGGCTTCATTGAGCGCGGCTGTTCCATGTACACATAGAGAAACAAGAGTCAGTGCGTCCTGTGTCATCGTAAGACAAGCAACCTTAGTCCTTGTAGCAGTGATGGGGAAAAAAAAAAACAGGACGCGAGTTTCTCTCGCCTTCCCCCTCACCCCGTCAACCGTGGCACCCTCACTCGCCATCGTGCTCTCATCCCAGCGGAAGCGACTTCGGTGTTCATTCTTCGTAGTCCTTTTGTTTACCGAACAGTACATGGACGAGGCGTCGCGAGGCTTATGTCTTCTGGCCCATCGCGCCGATTGATTCTCTTTCCCCTTAGAGCTCATTACGTGCTCTTTTCTTTTTTTTTCGTTCTTTCTTTCTTTATTTCTTCATTGTGTTCGTCTTTTTTTCTCGCAAAGGATGCACTTTTCTCCCGGGTATCTCGAGCCCTCCCTCCCTCTCCACCGAAGTTCGCGGCAATCGTCGTCTCGGATTGAAGATAGAGAGAGAGGAGGAGATGTCTGCCGATGGGGGCAATACACCGAGGAAAGAGAAAATAAGCGAGTGGTCCTCCTTATACGGTTGCAGGTGATAGAAGGAACGACGTCGACTCGATTTGGCCCATCTGCGGAGCAAATCGTTCGGTCGATATTCCTATTGAGCGAACACTTCTTCCTCGCTTGTTTGTGTTGCGTTGTAGACATCTTGGAAACAGGGCTTGCCAATTTGGTCATCATATATGTAGTACTTGCTGAATGAACTGGACGTCGTTACATGGCGCTTGATTCCCAAGCGTGCTGAACGTGGGACAAATGCATTAGGAAGGGGGATCTTTGTAGGAAATTGGAAATGAAATCGATTTTCGTTGCTATAAATATACAGGCACTACAAAGAAACTTTCGCCGTTGCCGTGGTGTTAAGTCACAATGTCCTAGTGGTCAGGTACACCAGGACTTTCTAAATCCTATCGGCCAATATGGCTTATGAGGGATGAGGCGATGATGATCTTTATTCACCTGCTGTATGGCCGTAATCCAACCTTACCACTGGACACCCTACCACCGACTACCTCCGCCGAGCGAGTACACACGTGATGCTATCGCTCGTGCCGACCACGCACGTCAGATAGCCCGCTCTAGGCTGTTGGCTCCACAAGCAACCCAAAATGTTCTCCACTACAGCAAGCACGTCGACGTTGACTTCTTACCCGTTTCTCTAGTTCTCTGGTGCCCAGTTCGTCGAGTTGGATTGCCGGAGAAGTTGTTATCTCGGTACAAAGGACCTTACCGTATCATACGACGGGCAACGGACATTACCTATGAGGTCTTTTCAGTCTTTGAGACTGACCTGTCTGCCAACACCCCCAGTGACGTAGTTCACGTCAGTAGGTTTAAACCATACCGCCCTCCCTCTGGATACCACGTATAAAGTACACCGAGACGGCGCTTTTGCGGCCGGATGCTACGTAGCTACCGCATGAAGGGCGAAACATTCTTCTTGCAGAAGACGACGAAGAGGACTGGCTTGCCCGCTGGGCGTGCTGTGCTCCGTCCTGCTCGGTGGTGTTACACTTGCAAATAGTCACGTCTCGTCTCATTTTACGTAACTATATTATTATTATCAGCCTAGAAATGAGAAAGTGGGGAAATGTGTGTTCTTTTTTTTTTGTAAGACAATGTTTTTTTATAGTGTTCCATCTTACTATGGTACTATTATTTAGCTTTTTTTTCTTGATATTAGTCTCTATTTCTATCATGTAGTAACTGCTATCTACATCTACAAATACACCAGTATTATCAATTTCTTCCTTGTTTTTAAAGTAAATTCTAAATTCTAAACGCCTATTGCTTATAGATCGTTTTCAGAAGTCGAGGAGAAGTCGCCTCACAACTCGCGTTTTCCTCCTTTTAGGTGTGTAGGAATGGTTCACAGCGCACGTGTGGGAATGCAAAAAACGGCTCGGAGTGCGTGTGACCGTGAAAGTGTGACTGTTTACGCATTTGTGCGAGCCAGTGGATTGCCAGATTAGCGAAACGCTTCCCGGTAATCCACATGACAGCCATCACGAAAAAATTGCCTATATCGAGTAACTGTTTTCTGCAGCTGTCAAATACACTGATACCGCTTTCAGTTCATCGCATTTCGAACGAAACAAAATTTTGTTCGCAACCCTGGCTTTCAGGTGGCATGAATCCTTCGTCATTCTTCATTTCGCCAGGTTGGGTCTCATAGCCAGAACAATTGTTCGGCAACTGTACGACGTTCCGCTGCGAAAGTCATCAAAATTGTTTTAGTTTAACGTCCCAAAACCACCATATCATTATGAGAGATTCTGTAGTAGAGGGCTCCGTAAATTTTGACTACCTGGAGTTCTTTACCGGGTACCTGAATCCAAGGGCACGGGCCTTATGATTTCTCGCCTCCACCAAAAATGCGGCCGCCACGACCGAGATTCGATCCCACGACCTGCGGGTCAGCAGCCGATTACCTTAGCCACACAACCACCATGGCGGGTCCCCTGCGAAAGTCAATATTCGATACTCCGAACTCAAAAGTTTTCGAGAAACGCAAAAGGTTGGTGCACTTATATATCGATGAACGTTAGGCACCAGTTTCTCAAACTTCATTTCGATACCTTTGTTTCGGTATCCCTTTCAAAAGCCTCCTAAATCACCTCTGTTACTTTTTTTTAATGCTTCAAGTCAACACACCCATCGAGTTCAAAATGTCGGCACGGCCAACAACGGAAAACTCAGCAGCGATGCGAGTGCACCACGCATGAGAAAAACAGTCCCGTGCTCCTTTCTCGGTCTTTCGGTTTCCACAGCGTTGACGTCAGCTTCCGCGTCTGGCCACGTCAGCAGCACCATTAGAGCCTGTTTGGCAGCAACCCGCTCCTTTTCAACGCTCAGTGAAGAGCAAAAATGAGTCAACGAATGAAGCGTATAGCAAAGAAAAGGGCGAGACGATCGAGGGCCGTGTTTCAATCATCAAACTAGTGCAGCTTTGTTGTTGCAGCAACATTTTGAAGAATTTTTCACGGGTACGCGTTCATTGTGGACTCGTGCATAACTGCAGTACCGCAGGTGAATTTTAACATTTGGGTTGTTTAAAGCACCTTCGAGCTCGCAGCGCAGATGCATCACCGAAATACCTTCTTTTTTAAGCATTTAGGCAACAGTCAGAAACTTTACTGTCGACCTTTATTGACGGCACTTTCGGCAAACAGGAACGCGAATCACCATATCGCTAGAGAAACCAAAAACACGTGGAGACGGCTGGGGAGTACACACCACAATCGCGCAGCAAAACCAATTACGTCGAGCTGTGCCCGTTGGCTGACGCGAATGCGCGTGAGGAACCTCAGTATCTAGGAAGGCCGGCAACCACGTCGTCTTCGATGCCACACTCGTCTGATCCGCGAAGAATCTTGAAGAAGCCTGCGAATGGTGAATAAAAGATCTGTCAGTCGATCGTTTGAACAAGACCCCATGTTCTGTGTATACGCTCACGTATTTCGGTAGAAAGGTGATCGGCCTTGCTATAGCTATATAGTTGAATCTGGTTAGTTGAACCTAACCTGAACACATCCCATTGTGTTCAAGTTAGGCTGTAAAAACCAGCGAGAATCTTCAGAGATGTATTGCTATGGCGAAAAGTACATCGCAATAAGATTGATTGATTGATTTGTGGGGTTTAACGTCCCAAAACCACCATATGATTATGAGAGACGCCGTAGTGGAGGGCTCCGGAAATTTTGACCACCTGGGGTTCTTTAACGTGCACCCAAATCTGAGTACACGGGCCTACAACGTTTCCGCCTCCATCGGAAATGCAGCCGCCACAGCCGGGATTTGATCCCGCAACCTGCGGGTGAGCAACCGAGTACCTTAACCACTAGACCACCGTGGCGGGGCACATCGCAATAAGTAGGTGTACCCATTACGCTGGATGGAAAAGTGCAATATGTCCATAAATACTGCCAACGTCTCTATTTTTTTCTCTTCCAAGTATACCAATTGTTTTTTTTTTTTTCAGAACGCACTAGGTAGTGTTGAGTTTCAATCCAGTGTTGTTGTTTTTTGTTTTTTTACTCACGCTTGTGAACACAAATGCTCGACTTGCCTATTTGTACCGCAGTTGGAAGTTTGAGTGCGTGGCTGTAAAATATACCAGGAGGAGAGGCAGGGCGGCTTTTCTCGCGTTTACTATAAGGGACCGTTTGGTGTGTGCAAACTGCCGGCACATGCTTTCAGACAGTATCATCTTGAGTCGTGTTTAATTTTGGTTATGTTAGTGCTTGTTTCAAGTCATGGTCCGGCATGTCTCATAACGACCTTGTCGCTTTCTCTTTAAAACGTATTGAACTATACCTGTCATGATACAACACTTACAAGAACCTAACTCATTTCTTTTTTTCTTCCGTTGACTAATGATGCGAAATTCAGTAGCAGTTTTAGCACTTAGAAAATAACACAAATTTTATATTTCAGACGCGGGAGTAGCGACGTTCTTATTGTATGCGTACGTCTGCTGGGACCCATATACTAAGGAACTTACAGATAAACTTGAAAAAGTTCAGAATAGAGCAATTCAATTTGGCCTTGGAAATTACGACAGGAATCTTAGTGTGAGAGAGAGCAGAATAACATTAAATTGGGATGTTCTTAAAAACCGTCGTCGAAACCTCAGATTAAAATTCTTTCATAGCATTTATCATTCGGGAACAGAGATTATCAGGCAATTGTATTTTCAACCACCCAACTATGTTTTTCAAAGACGCGATCATCACTTACAAATACGTGAGATTCCTTTTGGGGGTGACGCTTTTCGCTACTCTTTCTTTGTCCGCACTATAAGAGATTGGAACGCTCCTCCACCGGAAATAGTCTTTATTGATTCAAATGATGATTTTTTTCCATGGTTTATGAACGTTTTTATGTGTTCGATCATATGTACTTTCCCTTTCCGTTGTAATGCCTTGGCGAAGCAGGTACTTGATAAAGAAATAATAAATAAATAAATATGTTGAGTACGTGATGGCACGTGCACTCAATGCGTCTGAAGGGCCGTTTTCCAACCCAATCCTATCCTCATTTTGCACCTGCATCGTGACAGGTGTTCCCGAAAGGGGCAGGCTACTACAAAGGACGCCATACGTGCTTCGCAATCTCTCTTTTTTTTTTAATCAAGCGTGGGTTGTTGGAAAACGGTGACGTTGTGAACCTTTCACCGCGTACGTCCAAAGGCGTATTCGATCTGTTGTCGGTCAACGTCGTATACCTTAGTAGCCACGGTAAAGAGAGCTAACGTGGCTATTGAGACAATACGCGTACTAGACAAACGACGATATTGGCGCAATAATACTGTATAAAACCCGCTCTGAAGTAACCGCCAACAGAAACTCGAACGGGAAAGCTCAGAAGTAACAGCAGTTCTACCCTTTCTTTATTCGCCTCGAGTCCATTTTGCCTTGTTTTCGCGTATACTGTAGCGTCATGCGCTTGGTATGACGAGTGCACTGTACTATCAGCGTCAAATGACACCCGAACCGCGGCTAGCCTTCGCGATGGTATAGTGCACGCCATCCACCTACCACCATGAACAGGTACGCATTTGTGCGCACAGATGTCGAACAGGATGCTCGCAACTGTCCACAGTGATAAGTGGACGGCCCGCTCTATACTACGCGAAGACTTGCTGCTGTTCGGGTTTCACTTGACGTGGATTGTAAATTACGCATTACCGCGCGGGCATCATTCCTTACGCTTCCGTAATTTGTCAGGCACACGACAAGCACTCAAGATTCGTACACGCAGAAGCGTCCTATACTAATATTCTTCGCGACAAAAAATTTCGGCCAACGTTCATGCCGAGCCTGTCATGAGCGATGTCAGGCTAATACATGTATCATTTTTTATTTATATTTGGCAAGAAATATGAGAGGGTAGGCTACATTAGAGCTGGCTATCCCAACATCGTGAAAGTAACGTCTAATATACGCATGAAAACACAGAAAATTAAGAATAATAAAAGAATATTAAATATTCAGAAGGACTATGTACATAAATGTACTATAGGGCTTATATAACTGGATAAACGAGAATCAGCCGTTGAGAAAACGGCGTCTTGTTAATCAACTACGAATGCGAAACCAAATAAAGTAATCCTGTGTTTAGCTGGTAAATACGTGATTTGGTAAATAACAATACAAACAAAATACCACAGATATGTGTCCGGCTATCACTCCCGTGCTTAGTATGTCCTTACAAAAAGTACTCCATGATTTTCAGCTGCATCCTAACGTACATCTTCTCGAAAGCAGCACAGGCAACAGAAACACATCACTTTCTCTATAATAATTTTTTGTTGTTGTTGTTAACGTAATGCATGCATCATAATTTTTTAGGGAAAGGGGGGGGGGGGGGGCTGAAAGAGCTTTGTCTGACGCACGCCGCATGTGTTAATCAAAGTACAGCAACAAAGACGATTAGAAATATGTAATAATGGATTTGCTTCTCGTTCTAACCTCTTTAGTCGTGAGACAATCGTCATTCAACGTACGCGCCTGCAGCAAAAGCAAGCACAAATTTTTTTTTAAAAAACGGGTCACTGACCTTTGTCTCCCCACTCGGTGTTCCACGAGTTGGCAGCCAGCCAATAGGGGACGCCATTCTCGACGCCCCATCCCAGCAGCCTGATGGCGTGGCCCCCTAGAGCCTCGTCCGTGTGCCTCTGGTAGACGCCTGCACACATGTACATGAAGTGACTAGAAGAATTGAAGTGGTTAAAAAAATAAGAACGGGGTGCAGCACATTTGGCAAGCACTCTTAAATTATGACAGGTAGATTGCCACTGTCTCTCGAGAGGAGAGTATGTAACAGCTGTATATTACAAGTACTTCGTTACGGAGCAGAAACCTGGAGACTTACAAAGAGGGTTCAGCTTAAATTGAGGACGACGCAGCGAGCAATTGAAAGGAAAATGGTAGGTGTAACCTTGAGAGACAAGAAGAGAGCAGAGTGGATTAGGGAACAAACGGGGGTTAAGGATATAATAGTTCAAATCAAGAAGAGGAAATGGACATGGGCCGGGGATGTAGCGCGTAGACAAGACAACCGCTGGTCATTAAGGGTAACTAACGGGATTCCCAGAGAAGGCAAGCGGGTTACGGAGAAACAGAAGATTAGGTGGGCAGATGAGATTAAGAAGTTTGCGGGTATAAATTGGCAGCAACAAGCACAGGACCGGGTTCCCAGAGAAGGCAAGCGGGTCACAGAGAAACAGAAGATTAGGTGGGCAGATGAGATTAAGAAGTTTGCGGGTATAAATTGGCAGCAACAAGCACAGGACCGGGTTGACTGGCAGAACATGGGAGAGGCTTTTGTCCTGCAGTGGACGTAATCAGGCTGATGATGATGATTACGATGACATGTACGTGCATTCATACACGTTGTGGGCGTATGTTCCTAGGTGTGCCTTCCCACTCAGGTGTGGTCTATATTAACCACAAAAAGTCCCATGAAGAAAAAAAAAGAGCTTATAATGATTGAAATCTCATAACTTGATTGATATGTGGGGTTTACCGTCCCAAAACCACCACATGATTATGAGAGACGCCGTAGTGGAGGGCTCCGGAAATTTCGACCACCTGGGGTTCTTTAACGTGCACCCAAATCTGAGCACATGGGCCTGCAACATTTCGGCCTCCATCGGTAATGCAGCCGCCGCAGCCGGGATTCAAACCCGCGACCTGCGGGTCAGAAGCCGAGTACCTTAGACACTAGACCACCGCGGCGGGGCTGATAGAAACCTCGGAAGGCTGGCGTGTTTTCATAGACACCTTCTCAAGCCGTCAGAAGTATAAAATTAGCGGCGCAGATTAAGACACACGAGGACGAAGCCTATAGTACGAGAATTCACGCATCAAGAAAAACTGGTAAAATAGTATTGCGTACATGCAGTTAGTGCCGTGCGCATAAAAAAGTGCGTTTGAACCCGTCACATGATATAAAATATTATCTCTTTTCGTTCTATTAGACATTTATGGCTGTGTTTCTACGCATATCTGCATGTGTCCTCTGAATTATGCAGGGAGAAATTCGGACGGTCGAACAGTTCGTAGTAAGGTAATCGTCCGGTCTAGTTCATCTGTGCGTGTCCGAATGGGAATTGTCACTTTTACATTATTTTATAGCCATGTTATGACAACTAACAAAAAAGTACTCGCCTTAACAACATGGCCACATTGAATGCAACTAGCAAATATAATGGTTTAGGTTTAGGACACATACCACTTAATGCAACGTCGAACAGCGCGCAAGGATGGCCGAGCGAAATGAAGAGAAATAGACACAGCGGTGCGTCTCTGACATCTCGTGTAGTTGTCCCGTCTCTACACGCTGTTCCACGCTCAGCTATGCACCAAATGACCCGTCTGCCTTCAGTGTAGCAGATTATTTATAAATCTTACGCGGGAGCACGGCCCAGCGTCGTGGGGAAGGGTGAAGGGTGCGAAAGATAGGAGAAAGCGGGAAAACCACCTCACCTTACCGATGTGGCAGTCATCGAGTTCGATAAGCAGTACCACCTGCAACACGCCATTTTGCTGCATGGAGAATAGTACATTGACGTTGCACTCAGTGGTGTAGGTGCTGAGCCCGTAGCCAGGACTTGGGAGGTGACCCAAGGGCCTTGCCTCCCCCTCCTTCTTCTCGAAGTTCTCATAAAGGCGGTGGTTTACCGAAAATAAGTATTTAAAATAGGTGTTTTTCATAAATAGCCAAGGTCTTTAGCAAGTGCCCCCCTACGCCACCTGAGAAGAAATTAGGCCATCTCCAGCAACAGGGAACTACGTGCAGGTAAACGACCCAGAATAGATTGCCTACATGAGAGAGAGGGGGGGAGTGAGTGTAGACTACGGTAGCTTCTGGCATGAAATAAACACGAGAGACGGACACGTTTTTACTTCGCGCCAAAAGCAGCCGTTATAATGAGCCAACTCGCCCAACAAATCACTCTGCTGAGTGTAGACTGTAAAAAGAAGACTATAGCAGACATTGCCTGTGTCGGTGTTGCGAGGCCAGAGAGGGGGAGCGTAGGAGAAGAGAGGTGCAGGGTACGCGCTTGTGCAGTGGGGGTGTGAGCGCCGTTGGGAGGGATGCCTCCCAGTGGCTCTTACACAGAGGAGGGACGAGCATAGGCTCAGTCACTGCCTGCGTTGACGTTGCAAGGTGCGACAGTGGAGGGGGCGTAGGAAAGAGGGAAGGGTGCCCGTGCGCCTCAGGGCCGTTCCACGCGATATCCGCACAGGCGCAACGCACGTGCCGGCACACCTGCCACACCAAAGCGGAGGGTGAAAGAGCGTCGCCAATTGGCTGATTTGTCCCCCATTCGCGTGCGGCAGGGGTCCCGGCATGACACGTGGAACGGCCTTAAGGTAGGTCACGCCGCACACCGGATTGAGCTCAACCAAAGACGCTTCGCATCTGAAGATTTGCTGGCCACGGACCCGGTAGGTACCCATCTCGACATGTCCTTTCCAATCATCTTCTTTTCATCTTACAGCTTCTCCGGTTTGGTTTTTGGTGGGCGAAAGATACTTTACTCAGACCAGCAGATTAAGGCGTAAGCCTAAGCCGCACCAGGGGTGGTGGATAAACCCTGTCTCCAAGCCACCTCTCGTGCTCGCTGGATGACCCATATTCGACCTTCCCGATCTGAGCTGATCATCGCGGCTTTTGGCCATAAACTTTTGGGATATGTTAGAAATTTTTTTCTCTACACTAATTTGAGGGCTATGACCTCTGACATAAGTTTGAGGCCGCTGCGACCTTGTCGACCATGTACGCACCAGATTTGTAGTGGACGAAGTCAGCGTAGACGGTGAAGTCTGCTTCCACTGGACCGTTGGTCATGATCTCAGCTTGGATCTGCTCTTCCGTCGATGGCACTGAGTAACCGCTCTTGCCTGTTCACGAATAAAACGAAAGCATCGTTATCAGTATTTTAATGCGAAGAACATTGGGTAGTTCCGTGACCACACAGGAACCATGGTTTCGAAACACTTTTCTACTGTCTTCCTTCAACGCTAAATTATCATCAGCCTGACTACGCCCTGTATAAATAAAAATTATTCGGTACAAACGTACGTTATATTTTTAAAAACGTATTACTTCAACTGTTATTAAGAGTGTTAACCTTACTTCTGTCATACGGGAAAATCTGTGTTTCGCTCTGATCTTCATAATTTTGCTCTGTTCATTTCTGTTCCAATGTTGCAACAATTGTACTTGCTGTGAATTCCTGTCATGTTTCTTCTGTTAGTGTGCGGGGAGTAGGGTCCAGTCGAGCTGCCTATAGGTAACATTTATCCCATCATTGCTGTTTTTTTTTTTCATGTTCTGTACGTACGTGCCAATACGCGAATCAATTGACGTGTCTCAAGCATTGCACCGCGTCTCGTTGCGTAATCGACCCAGCTTTTTGACATTATCAAGTGCACTTTGATATTCGAATTTCAACGTTCCCGCTCACCGTAGTGCTTGTCATCGTCATAGTGCACGTCGTAACCCTTGCGACACATGTGCACACAGCGTGGTGTGGGCGGGATCTTCTTGTCGCAGGGACCCAGTGTGCCGTTGATGTGATGGTCACACGCCTTGATCGGGTACGGCATGCAGCCGTCGTCCGAGTCGTAATTGCCACCCGTGACAATGCCCCTCTTCACCCAGAAATTCCATGCTGAGCCCGGGAAGCCTCCGTTGCACCTGTGTTATTCCACAGAACATCTTGTACAGTTTAGCATTCTGCAGTCCAGTTAGTTGCAGGGCTATCGAAGTACTGGGTACGTCTTGTTTATTATGTATAAAACAAAACTGTTTCAGTATCGCGTACTATTATTTGCATTCTGTTAATTAATTGGTACCACACACGTTATCAAGGGGGTCATAAATCTCAATGTGTTATAGGAAGGGCCCATTCAGCCTTCAGAGAGAGTGATGGTAGTCGTAAATTTGCACCAGAGCAATTGTACAACGTCCTTGCTAGAGGACATTGTGTTACTGACTTCGTGAAAATTCACAATGATGATTGCAACTGTTTTGATAGAATTGCACAATATCACGTGCAGTCCTTATACTATTGGCCCATGAAGTCGCTGGAGTTTTCTTACCGGGATGCTTAAGTGGAAGGCATCGAGGGATAAAAATATTCCCTCGCGAACAAAAATTTTGTCAGGAAATAGCTTCGAAATTGTCTTTCCGTGAACTCGTGAGGAGAAATAATGGGTTATTTTCCAACCTCATCGCCTCTATTTGGACCCACTGTCTCTATACTCTACCATCTCTTTACTTTCCAATTAACGCTCGCTTAAAACAGATTTTTATCGTTAATGTGCACTGCATCGACCAACCCATTTTGTTCGGTCAATTTCGAGGCATTTACGTTTCCTACGAAATGCTGCGATAAATGCCCTTTTTTTTCTTAGTACGAGGTAACGCTGTCCAGCTTCCGCTGTAAATATCCCTCTTCTTCTTTTTCATTGGCTGTTAGCGGGCACGTCTTCATCTCCAAACTTGTGCTTCATTTGCAGGAGAACTAACAATCTGCGATTTCTCTTTTTATAACTCAGAGATTCGGTTGCACGAGTGGGTGCATCTTGTTGATTCCGTAAAACGAAGTCTTTTAATTATCTGTCCGCCTCGGTGGCACAGTGGTTACCACGCTCAACTGCTGACCCAAAGGTCGTAGGTTTGAATCCCGGCCGCAGCAGATGCATCTAAATGAAGTTGAAGTCTTAGAGGCCCATGTGCTTAGATTTGGGAGCAAGTTAAAGAGCACCAGAGGGTCATAATCTACAGCCTCTCTCATGGTCATACGATAGTTTCGGGACGTAAAACCCTATCGATTAATACTAAAGTCGATCAGTATCCAGTGGCATGTGCGCAGCTACGAATGCATGCTAGATGGGAATAAATTTT